AAAAAAAAAAAATGTGTCTTTTCCAACAACTTAAAAATCAAGATGGATCAAATGGACTCATATCTTAATATAAGGGTTAAGTCCTGACTTTCAAGGTTGGAAACATGTCAAATAAAGAATGATGCCCGAAAATAATTTATATTGAACATGTTATAATAGCATACGTTTGCTGTATTATTTAGTTTGTGTGCATTTTGTGCCCTGTCAATTAAGAAGTGATGAAAATTGGCAGAAAATTGGACTCATTAAACTGTTGCCCCATCACGTTCTGTGAGTGCACAAGAATTATAAAATACATAAAGCATCAAATACTAAACTAAACATAACCTTTCCTCTTTATATTGTTGCATTAGTGCCAATGTTCTTCTTGTCCTAGTCAGACAGCAAAAACATTGAAAAGAAATATGAAATTGTTTATAGGACAAGGTTATTTTATAATAACAGGAATTCATTTAAAGACTCGTTCTTCTCTTTTCCAGGACTTCTGAACCAGACATCCAGCATCATCCTCCACTCTGATTCAGAAGTAACATATTCATTCTACTCGTCATTTCCTGTGTTGTGATTGGCTCGTCTCTTCCCCTTCCTCCGTTCTCATTGGCTATCTGGGATTACATCGTCTGTTAGTGCCAGTCCCATTAAAGCAGGTGAAAACATGGAGCCCATTTACGCCACAGGGATGGCCGCGAAGCTGCGGAGTCAGTGGGACCGGGATGCGGGTTTGGGTCAGAACCACAATGCTGTGAAGCTCCTGGGCCAGGATTACGAGTCACTGAGGGCCCAGTGCCAGCAGACCAGGACCCTGTTTGAGGACCCTCTGTTCCCAACCAGCACTTCTTCACTGGGATTCAATGAGCTGGGTCCACGGTCCTCCAAGACGCATGGTGTGCGGTGGATGAGACCGACGGTGAGCTGACCACAAGGGTCGTGAGGGTCCGATGGGTCTGTCTTGCATTTGTTTAGCAAATACTTCTTCCTTCATACTCCATCACTGCTTGCTGTTCCTCTTGTTCTCTTCCATTTGCCATGTTTTAAAGGAATAGTTCACCCAAAAATGAAAATGTACGCACCCTTAGGTCATCCAAGATGTAGATGAGTTTGTTTCTTCATCAGATT